TTCTGCGATCAAGGCTCTCCCCCTACGCCCCTGCCGCCGCTCATTTCTCGAGCGGAGTAGCCCTTGCCAGGCGTCCCAGCGCCTCCCCTCGGCGTGGAGCCCCCTGGTCTCTCCGTGGGGCCGAGCACCGCTTCCCGCGTCGTGAGCCGTGCGATAGCCTCCGAGGCAGGGGCGGGTCCGACAGCGGTCCGGCGATGGGCGCGGGCACGCATGCGGGCTCTTTTCTGAGACCTAGGGGCCCGTCTCCAGCACCCCGACCTCCCTGTGGGTGCCTCTTGGCAGCTCACAAATCCTGAGATCGTAACCGGAGCTGAAGTTTGGACGCTTAAGCGACTGAGCCACCCAGGCGCGCCCCAATCCTCCTTGACACCTCAGACGAACTTCCGGCTCTGGACTGCGTAATCCTCCAGGTGATTGGTGATCAATCCTCCAGGCAGGTGCCTCAGGGTGCTCGCCAGGGGCTCCCTGGGACCCGCTGTTCTGCCACTTTGTGCACCCCGCACTCCTATTGGTGGATGGTCGTGCCACACAGGGTGGTGGTCATCCCCGGGCAAGCGCAGACATGGTGCCTCCTCCCGCGCGCCCAGCTTCCCGCTACCACTCGAGGAACCCATCTGCTGGGAAACCAACGATGTTGGCCTTGTTTTTGCTCTGGGAGTCCGGAGACGAGAAGGCGGTGGGAGTGGCAAGCTGAGCGACCGCTAAGAAATGAAAAACAACGCCAAGAAAGCTGTTCAAAGCCTGGTGCCATTTCCATGAAAACTAAGCCTCAGAGAAGGCAGCGGGAACCCCTCGTCTCTGAGCGGTTTAATTTGGCGTCTGGCTGTAAGCTGTAATTTGCCCAGTTGCAGACCAAGGAAGGGTTCCATTCCTTCTGATAGAAGTGGTGAAGGGCCAACCCCAGAGGGGACCCAGATTACCAGGTGCGATCAGAGGGTAAACGCTGTGAAGCCAAGGGTGGATTGAGGGGCAAGGAGAAGGGGTCTCGCTGCGAAGACCCAGGTTTTGCTGATCTTGAGAATGCGTGTGTAGTCTATCATATTGTCTATCATAGAGCCAATAGGCCGTCTCTATTGTCTGGTTGTAGTTCTAGAATAAAGTGGTTTCCTCCGACTACCTCGGTGTGTGGGGGAGTTTCTGAGGTGGTAGAACCCACAAGTGTTAGCACCCCTAACACTATCGGCAGAGTTGCAATGAGCGAGTTTTAGAATGGGGGACATCGTAGGGGCGCCTGGGTGGCGCAGTCGGTTAAGCGTACGACTTCAGCCAGGTCATGATCTTGTGGTCCAGGAGTTCGAGCAACGCAGCCCGCGTCATGTCAGGCTCTGGGCTGATGGCTCAGGGCCTGAAGCCTGTTTCCGATTCTGTGTCTCCCTCTCTCTCTGCCCCTCCCCCGTTCATGCTCTGTCTCTATCCCAAAAATAAATAAACGTTGAAAAAAAAAAAGAATGGGGGACATCGTAGATAATTTGGCAGGAACTTCAAATTAGAATAACCAAGCTTTATATATATATTACATATATGTTTTATTTTTTATATTATATTTTATTTTTTATATGTCACGTATATATTTCATTTGTTATATACGTAGATTGGAATGTGAACGTTTTAAGGACCTTGTTAGGCCTAAAAACACCGTGAGGTGTGGTGGCAGCTGTTCTAAAGGCCCCTGGATGGAAGATGTGTCCTTATTCCTTGACCACATGTAAGTGTTCCCTTTGATACACGATTTGGCAAATGTGGAATTTTTTTTTTTTTTTTTTGGATGAGATGAGCTTTTTTCTCTCTTTATGCCAGTGAAGCAGAGGGAGGTGTCCTTCTTACAAGTTGTAGGAAGAGGAGGGGGAGATTACTGCCATATAAGGAAGTTCTATTTGATGACCCGAGACAAAGATGCTCCACGGATGCCTTGCTGCCTTTGAAGGTAAGTGCAGAAGTGATCTTCGGTCAAGGAGCAGGAAAGGAGGCAGGTCTTGGGGGAAAGGTAGAGGAGGATGAGCATTCAACCCCAAAACCTGTGTCCAGGCCTGTGCCCCCATAGGGAGGGAGGGATGTGTAGATTTGCCCTTATGTGAACAGACTGTTCTGACCTTTGGAATCATTAAGACCAGGTAATGGTGGTCTTAAGCACCAAAAATCTGCAGTAACTGTTTTCAGCAGCTTCTAGATAGAGAAGTAATACAATTTATACTTGTTTTGGTGATGGAATAATAAAATGCATGTTTTTGTTTTCTTTAGGTTTGCTTATTTATTTTGAGGGAGAGCAGGAACTGCGGGGAGGGGGCAGAGAGAAAAAATCCCAAGAAGGCTCTGTGCTGTCAGACCAGGGTTGACTGGGGGGGCTTGAACTCACAAACCCTCAGACTGTGTGACCTGAGCTGAAATCAAGAGCCTGAGCCACCTATGTGGGCCCCATGAAATGCATTTTGAAAAACATTCCAATTTTAAGAATTCAGTGACATTGATAGGATGTCCCTCAGGATCCATTTGTGTAAGTTGGCTGTGGGTGGAGGTGGGGTGGATAGAAAAGACCCAAGAAGAAAACAAGGACGGAACATTGATTAGGGGTAACATCATTATATGCAATTATATATTTAAATAAACTTTATATAATTGAGTTTTAAGTACAAAATCTTGCTTAGAATAGGAAGTATATGTGGCAAAGTGCTTAATTCTCTGGGTTTTTGTTGTTGTTTATCGGTATCCGGGGGCAAGGAGCCCTTGTGGGGCTGACATTAGTCTCCAGCTGTTCCACCACCGGAAGTCACATTATTTAGCACAATCTGATAGGGGGCCCCGGGCCCCAAGTAGACAAAGGCATTGTTCATCAGGCAGTGCTGTGGAAGGGGGAGAACTAAACTGATTTTGAAGTTTAAAGTGATTTACTCTTTTACTGCAGGGTAGTAATAATATTTAAAACCTGTCCTTTCCTATTCCTGTAGAGTAAGTATTGCTGGGAAAACAGACCTTTACCGCCTCTCCTCAAAGGCAGCACATCTGGTTGGCAACCTTCACGTTTGCAGCTAGTGACGGGGAAAGGTTACGATGGCTGGACTAATGCTCTTTTCAACAGAGAACCACACTCTCAACTGCAGGGTGTATGTGGCCAACACACAGTCAACAGCACAGACGAGGGAGGAAACACGTGTAAGAACATTTTAAACGTTTTCATTGAACATTTTTATTGCAGTAGCGCGAGGTCCCAATGCTTTACTTTTCATCAGCACCCACAGCAAGTAGACTTGGCAAATATACACATACGGGTGGCACACAGTTCTCAGGGGAAATGCACGATTCGAGCAGGGGGAGATTGCACTCACACACCTTTGAAAACCACTCGTGGAAAAGACGGAACAAATCTGACCAGGCTTCTACTGGAGAGGACACCGGCAGAACTCAGAGCAACCATGTCCCCCTGGGGAGAGCTTGGCCTGTTTCAGTTCGCTGGGACTCAGGCCTCACACTGCTAGGGGGATGGAGATGTACATTTGGCACAACTGTGCCTTGTGACGGCCAGGCTGGCAACAACCCCCGAACCCTCGTTGTCCTTTGTGTTAGATGAGTGAATAATGGTGTCTTCCACTTGTTTACAAAAAAAAAAAAAAAAAAAAAAAAAAAATTCCAACTATTCACTGGTGATGGTCGAAGTAATATGTACTATTATGTACCCGTAAAAAGGAGCCACAGTAAGATTCCAACATGTAAAATTCTAGAGAACACAAACTAGCGAAGGTACGAAAGAAAGTGATGGTCTGCGTGGGAATCCAGGCAGAGGTTACAAGACAAAGGACCTGTGGTGGAGTACGATGGTTTCATGAGCGCACATCCAGTGAAGTCTACCAGCAGCAGTTTTTGGTTTTCAAGTACACTTGAAGTCTATCGCATGCTGAGTGGAAATGCTTTCGTGGGAAAACCTTAGAAAATTGAAATCTGGCCACCCCACAGGACACAGCTCCGTGTCCCGCTGGCCAGCAACCACACCGGAGTTTACAAGCTACACTCCGTGGGTGAGAAAGACCACGTGCCTGCTTCCTTCGTGTCTGCATTTCCAGGAGTTTGGTTTTCAACCCCCCGCCCCCAACACCTTAACTGTAGTGCAACAGAACCCCGGCCACAGGAGCGCTGTCAGCTCTATAGGGCCTCAGAATGTCGTCCACAAGGCCCTTACCTGAAATTGGCCGTAGCCCCCAGGGCATTGGCGTAGGCATCACAGCCCCTCCACTTTGCAAGTCCCCCACCATTTCGCTAAATGTGTCTGTACCGCACAGCTGGCTCCTACCTGGTGCCTGGAATCCATGATACCAGCCCAGTAGATGTGATGGCACAAGGCTCTGTATTGGGACCTAGAGCACTACTTCTCAACAGCGCTGGGGCACTGTGACATCCTATGTGAGAAAGAGAAGCTGATCCTTGGGGCGCCGGGGGGCTCAGTTGGGTAAGCGTCTGACTTCAGCTCATGAACCCATGGTCCATGGGTTTGAGGCCCACATGGGGCTCTGTGCTGACAGCTCAGATCCTGTGTCTCCCTCTCTCTGCCCCTCCCCCGCTCATGCCCTGGCTCTCTCAAAAATAAACATTAAAAAAAAAAAAAGAAAAACCCACACGGTTCCTCTCAGGGAAACCTCCAGACTCAACCACAAACCTGTACATCTGGGACACAAGATTAGTCCCCAAAAATTGGGACTGCCCTTCATTCTATCATAGGAGGCCTTGTGCCCAAAACTCTAGAGAGCTACCCTGTGTCATGAAACCATCCACACTGAGGCATACAGTGTTTGGGACACATGTGGGAGAAACCTGCACTGACCAACATGAGGGTTCTGGACAGGTTAGAAAGTACAGCCTAGCCCCCTATGCCCCATGGGCTCAGACTGTGGTGAGGATGGGCTCTTGACATGGTGCAGCCCCCCGCTCATTCTAAGGCCCTCCTCCCCTGTGAACTTTCTGGTGTCGCAGGAGGTTAGACCTGCGGCTGAAGGCTTTCCCACATTCAGTGCACTCATGAGGTCGAGCGGGGCTGTGGAGTTTCTGGTGGTCGATGAGAGCTGACCGGTGGTGGAAGACTTCTCCACAGCTCCTGCACTGGGGAGAGCTCTCTGTGGTGTGAACTTTCCGGTGCTGAGTAAGTTGTGTGCTGTGGCTAAAGGATTCCCCACAGGCATGGCACTCGTAGGGCTTTTCTCCTGTGTGGACTCTGTGGTGTTGAGTGAGGCCAAAGCTCTGGCTAAAAAGTTTCCCACATTCATTGCACTTGTAAGGCTTTGCCCCGGTGTGAACTCTCTGGTGCTTAATGAGGGTGGAGCTTTGGCTAAAGAGTTTCCCACATTCGCTACATTCATAAGGTTTTTCACCAGTGTGAATTCTCTGGTGTTTAATGAGGCTGGGGCTTTGGTTAAAGAATTTCCCACATTGGCTGCACTCATAAGGCCTTGTTCCCGTGTGGACTCTCTGGTGTTTAATCAGGTTGGAGTTGGAGGTGAAGAATTTTCCACACTCACCACATTTATAAGGCCGTGCCCCAGTGTGAATCCTCTGATGTTCACTAAGGCTGGAGCTTTGGCTAAAGAATTTCCCGCACTCACTGCATTCATAAGGCCTCTCTCCAGTGTGAATTCGCTGGTGCCGAACGAGTGTGGGTTTGTTACTGAAGGCTTTCCCACACGCGCCGCACTCGTAAGGCCTCTCTCCAGTGTGGACTCTCCGGTGCTGGACGAGTATGTGTTTGTAGCTGAAGGTTTTCCCACACTCGCTGCACTCATATGGCCTTTCTCCCGTGTGGACTCTCTGATGCTGGGTGAGTCTGTATTTCCGGCAGAAGGCTTTCCCACAGTCACCGCACTTGTAGTGCCTCTGTCTGTGGTGAAAGGGCTCTGTACAGCTGGTGTCCTCACTGGGCGTCCCCCGACTGTGAGTGAGCTGGGGGAGAAGGCCTGGGCCAGCAGGGACGGGCTTCTGTGGTGGGGGGTGGGTGGCATGGCTCTTCGTGTTCCTTCGTGGGCGTCTTTCTCTACTGTGCTGCTTCTGGGGCTCCTGAGGCTT